AGTAATTGACTACAAGCGACTAAATTATTTTTATCATCATGTTTTTTTAAGGTTTTTTGAATTTTATGTTTTATTTTGCTTAAGTATATTCTACGTTTTTTTAATTGTAATATTACCTTTTGTAATCCTATGTTTTAATATATTAATTTTTGATTTTGAATTTTTTTTTTAATGATACTTAAAACGGTCTCACCAATGCAAACATATTTAGTAGGAGTATCAAAAAAAATCTTAATCAATAAACAAATATTATAAATAATACTAAAAAATTCCTAATGATACTATATCAGTATCACCTATAAGTATGCTCTTAGTCTCTCTCCAGAAATTGGACTAAAATACGGATTGCTTTCCGAGATGACTCAGCTAACTGAAACGCTGTCGTTTTACCTACTAGACCTTTTTTTTTTTCCTTTTCTTTTCTCGACTAAAAATTCATTTCATTATATCGAAATTATAATGTTAAACATAAATTACTATGTGCGCCTGAAAAAAAATACAAAGAAATAAGATCACGATGCGCTATGGACCATAAAAAAAAAAAAAAAAATTGTTAAATTTTTATTTATTATTTTGAAAAAAATTTCTGGAATTTTTACTAATTGTGGAATTTTTTTTAATTTTAAATTTTTTTGGGCTAATTTTAGGCTTATTTTGTAATTTTGAGGCCTAATATTTAAAAAAAAAAAAAAAAAAAAAATCTCAACAAAATAGGCTTCTATACAAATGTTTCTTGGTGCAGGGCCGGGCCGGGCCTGGCTATAGTCGAAAAAGCCTTATTCGCTAACGAAAACACAAATTCATAATATTTCTTCTACTCTTTTGCTCCAATACAATTCTTTTGCCTTTCTTTTTCTTGAGGCTGTTTCTTAATCGTGTTAGTAAAATTCATTACGCCTGATACTAGTCCTAGTAAGACTACCTGATGCCAATTAGTCTGCATCAATGTCCTTAAAAATATCATAGACCTTAACTTGACTTCAATATAAACCATTATCACTATCTTCTCCACAATATCACCATTGCCAATTCTCCTTCCGAACATCCGAATAAAGATATGACCATCTTTCATCAACGCAGAAAAAAACACAGGATACATGAGTACATGACCGGAAATTAACAGAAAGTTCCACCTCAAAACACGAGCCAAAAGTGTCGTAGTTTTAAAGTTGGAACCTTGACTGCGTCTGCTTCTCCATGGAAACTACACTTCCTTAATCTTGTCCTTGCATCTTTTTTTCTTATCAGACAACATGAGCCACCACACCACCGCGTGTTTACCATTAACCGTATGACACTTTCATAAGAGAAATAATATAGCATCACTATCAGACCTGGTAGCAATTAGTAAACGGGTAAAGAACGTGGCATTAATCTAAAACCGTCACTGTTATATAGTATAGTTTTAAGATTAGTGAAAGAGACATGAAAGAGAGATTTAGTTGAGAAAAAATAAAATTACTGTCCTTAATTAGGAGCTTTCAGAATTAGAAGAATCCATAACAAGTTCACACTCTTCCATCACAGCCGCTTCTTTAATCTCTTGCAACATTTTCAACACTTGCCACATCGTCGGTCTCTGTTCTGGCGATGTTAAGCTACAAGCTACCGCAACTTCAGTCAACATTCCGAATTTATCTCTATCCTCTCGCCAATTCCCATTCTTCTTCTCACCTTCCTCTCTCACTTTCCTCACCCATTCAATCATCTCATCCAACGGTAAAACCGGAATCTTCGAAGGTTGCTTCCCTGTCAAAAGCTCCAAGAGAAGAATCCCAAAAGAATATACATCAGCTTTAACAGATTGATAATTTAAACTCTTGTGTCGAGCTTCAGGGGCTTTATAAGCCGCTGCATCCGCGTCTTCTTGACCGTCATTGGATGTTAGAGGAGGGTTTGTTGCAAGAGCAACGAGACAGTAATCGGCAATACAAGCTTCAAAGTCTGGTCCGAGAAGGACATTGGAGGATTTGAGATTGCCGTGAACAAGCTGCCACGCTTGGTGGATGTAAGAGAGACCCTGAGCCACGTCTTCTGCTATCTTCAAGCAAGATGTCCAATGCAATGGCGTTGCCCTTGACGATTTCGTACCTACACAATATCATATATCAACTTTAACATAAGCTTTGGAGTCAAAAAATAAAAATTTACATTAGCTACTCTGCTATCTTGTAAGACTGTAACTAACTAACTCTATCAAATTAGATATACCAAATCCATCACATTCCTCTAGCTAGACATGGACATACTAAAACAAAATTAAACCAAAATATATTTTATAACCTGTTGGATTTTGTTATTTTAGTCTAACTGAGCTAACCCTATATAATCTCATTTATTTGAATACTAATATTGAGCCATAATCCACACAAAATAATAAAAGTTAAATACATTTCATAACCCTATTTACATGATCAAAACAACCAAGACCAAGTAACTAACCATTCACTGCAAGGAAAATTATAAAAACAATTTAACTTTTGTGCATTACAGCATTAATTTTTTTTTTTCCTAGAACATCTTTTAACATGAAACAAGGAGTACCAAATGTACCAAGAGCAATTAAAAAATTTAAAACCATATAATAAAGTTAACTGTATAGAAATTCCATGTGGCCACTAGAGCTAAACTGTACATAAAGTTAAAAAATATTGAGTCACCAAAAGTAAAAAACCTCGTAAGTCGTAACTAGTAAATTTATTACCAGCATTAATCACGCAAACCTAACAAATGCTTGATGTCTTCAATGAATAAATCTACTAATCATTTATTAAAATTCAATGCCCACAAAGAATAAAAACTCATATAATCGCATGTGATAGGGTTTACGAAGCTTACCATGGACAAGAGACGAGAGACTGCCATTTGGCAAATAATCATAAATCAATAACCTCTCTTCCTTCGCCTGAAAATAAGCTCTGAGTGGTACCAAATTCGGATGCCCTAAAGCACCAACTGATTCCATGTGACGCTCAAATTTATCTCTCCCTACACCCGCTAATCTAATGGCATCTAATCTCTTCACAGTCACGATCAAACGGCTATCAAGCAATGCCTTATAAGTGGTCCCCACTGTTCCTCGACCTAATAACTCAGCTGATGCTGTCATTAGTTGGTCCATTGTATAAACGTGTGCCTCACCCGCACAGAATACTAAACTCCCACTTTTTGTCGCTTGTAGCTTCTTCACTTTCTCTTCTATCTCACTCTCTTGTTCTATCGCCGCCGCTACTTCCGCCGTCTCCGCCGCGTCAAATGAGACAACCGCCGTTGATTCTTTCCCCTTTTGTTTCTCGTTTTTGCTTCTTCGTCTCTTCACTGCGCCGATTAGGCACGCGACGGAGATGAATAGGATAAAAGCGCCGGAGATAAAACCGAGAATCACAAAGAATCGTGAATGTTTGTTTTGATTTGGCCGGGATAATCTTGCTCCTCCGATTTGCGCGATTTGACCGAGAACCATCTTCGGTGGCGGCGCCGCCGTTACCGGAGTGAAGAATTTTGGTCTTGGATTGCATTCTTTGTGAACGATCTCGCCGCAGAGATTAGGGTTTTTGAGAAATGAAGAAATACCGAATCGTAACAGAACGGTTGTTACCGGTACAGAACCGGTTAAGTTGTTAACCGAAACATTGAATGTATGAAGCGAGGATTGGTTTAGAGCAGGTACGGCACCGTTAAACCGGTTTGAATCGAGCCTGAGATAAATCAACCGGTCGGAGAGAACTAAACCGGGAGGGATTGGACCGGTGAGGTTATTGAAGGAGAAATCAAGAGTTCTTAACCGGTGCAGCGCGAGAACCGAGAAAGGAAACGAACCGGAAAAAGAGTTGTGATCGAGAAATAACGATTTGAGATTAACCAAACCGGAGAAATCTGGTAAAGGTCCGGTTAAGGAAGTGTTTTTGAGACTGAGAACTCGAAGCTGGTCGAGTTTATTAACTGAGTCAGGAACGAGACGACCTCCGAGATAAAGATCTTCAATAACCAAACGAACAACTCTGTTTCCATAACACGTAACACCCCACCATTGACAAAAGTGAGAGCTCGTGTTAATCTTGTTCCATAAATCAGCTTTGGATTTGAAACGTAACAAAGCAGAAACGTCACGGTGGTAATGAAACACGTGTTTAGTGCGGTTTAAGGAAGAAGAAGAAGAAGCAACAATGGTGAAGAAGAAGCAGAAGAGAAGAAACCCAGAAATGGGTAAGTTACAACGAAGAAGCATAGCTTGTAAGAAGAATGTGTTAAAGAAGCATGTTAATGTCTGTTTGATTATTATTACATATCAAGAGAGAGGTGAAGAGAGCAGGAGGTACGTGACAAAAGGATGTAAGAAACAAGAGAGGAGAAGTAGCTGTCGGGGACTGGAAAGTTTTCAGAGTCACGTGAAGACTGAAAAAGTAAAGAAGTTGTGTAATTATTATAGTACTAGGATATGACCCGCGGTACACCGCGGGTTAATTATATGATTTTTTTATCTATTTATAAACTGATAAATTTGTTATATAGAATATTTTTTATTGTACACCGCGGATTATATATGCTGTAACTAAAAAATAAAAATTTTAAATTGTATTTGTTTTGTTTTGTGTTTAAGATTGTATAATTGTATTTTGATTTATTATTTCTAAGATTTCACCCGTGGTATATTGTCTCCTATTAATATCGACCCAAACCCGTCCCACCATATAATCCCGTCCTGTGAAATTAAACATCATTTTATTATTTTTTTTAATAATATTTTTATTTAAAAGACATATAATTCGACTCAATTTAAAAGTTTGCTTTCAAATGGTTTCCATAATATATATATATTTTTAAATTAGTATGTATTTTTTGACCTACCCGTAAAAATAATATACCACCGATATTAAAACATATTATAAAATTATAACTATATATATAAATATTTTAATAATAATATTATGCCACATTTTAATTATAATTTTTAAATAATTAAAAATAAATAAAAAAACCTTATTGAAGTTGGAATGTCAGTTGAAGTGAATATATAGGGTTTTTCGATTTGCATTTACCATAGAAATGAATATATAGGATTTTTAATATGCAAATCTTGTATTTAGTATTTACAATAGAAATGGGAAAGTGGGAAGTGGCCCATGTAAATCACAAAGCGTAGCCCAACAAATACTAAACGATGCGTTTGGCAATCGTCATGTCCCTTTTTTTTTAATGGTTATTTCCGAGAGAGAGATGGAGGAAGACGCTAGCTTTGACGGTGGCGGAGAGTTCGTTGGAGGCGATTTAACCGGCAGTATAAAATGGTGTTGGTACAATATGTTGAGACGACACAATCTGGTACATGTAAGGCATTTTGTCAATTCTAAAAACATAATCAATCAAACAAATTATCTTCGTCTCTTTGACTCTTTCTCTCGGTCGTGTTCATCATTGAATCCCAGCTTCTTCGAAGTGATCCTTCACTTGTAGACTGCGATTTTCTGTTTTTCTTCAACGATTGGTGAGTTCTAGATCGGATCATATCTTACATCCACAGATTTACTGTTTCAAAATTGAATTGAGGATAATTCGACAATTCCATAATCAAAAACCATCTTCTTCGCTTCCACTTCTTCAGCTAACAGGGAAAACCTAACCGTTGAGCTAATCCACAGTGACTCTCCTCATTCTCCACTTTACAACCCTCACCACACCGTCTCCGACGGTCTAAACGCTGCTTTTCTCCGCTCAATCTCACGCTCTCGCCGTTTCAATACCAAAACCGACCTCCAATCCGGGTTGATCTCAAATGGCGGCGAATACTTCATGAGTATCTCAATCGGTACTCCTCCGTCGAAAGTCCTTGCCATCGCTGACACGGGAAGTGACCTAACTTGGGTTCAATGCAAGCCATGTCAACAATGTTACAAACAAAACAGTCCACTCTTCGACAAGAAGATATCTAAGGGAAAGGAAGGAGAAAAACCCTAACGAAATTCCTACCATTTTTGTTTTCATTTGCAGTTGCGAATTGGGATCGGCTAAAGCAGCTCCAATTGCACAACAATGGCTTCTCGTATCATCATCAATCATTCCTAAAAGGTTTCTTTCTCGATTTTTTCGTTTTATCTACCGTTTTTGATCTTCTCTCTTTGATTTCTTTTTTTTCAATCAGTCTTCCTGATAGTTTTTTGCTTTGGAGCCTGCAAATTAGAATCAAGAGACAAACTAAATTAGTTTAATTGGAGATACAAATAAGTCAAACCTCTAGTCCAGATGCTTACATTGTTTTGAATTCTTCCACCTCTGGAATATAAAGATTTTCATCCACTGGAAACTATTAAACGTGGTAGATAAAAATATTTTTCTACCAGCATTAAAGCTGGTCATCAAGTTAAGATTTCTTACTTATTAAGAACATTTAGAATGTTTGAAAGAGTAGGATATACGAACTCTTACCTCTATATTCTTAAATTCGACCAGAAAACACTTTGCTTCCTAAGACATGCAACATATCAAGTTAGTTGATAAGAAAAAGGTTTAGAATCAAATCTTAGTACATGGAAACTTACTTTCTCATCAGTCTAGACCATATCAAGTGTCTCCCTTTTTTGACAGTATATTGTCCATGAATGCAGGTTCTTAAACTTGGACGCACCATGCGGCTTTGTAAGGTCTCAAATGTCAAATCTCTGAGATTGGAAAATGAAGCAACCATTGATTTCTGGAAATGCTTCTCTTATCGTGTTAAAAGGTAAACTTTGTGCTGATGTGTAATTCTCTGTTAGCGAAAACATATTTATAGATGTCATAGTCTCTTGGCGTTTAGGTTAGAGAATTTAAGAAATTCGTGTTGAGAAAGTATAGAATATCTTTACAAATCTTTGATTCAATAATATATAGAATATGCTTTATAGATATTTCGTCAAAATTAAGAACAAATAGTTTGATTTATTAGACATTTCCAATTGATGTTGTGTATATTGAATGTAGACATTATATTGTTCAATTTTATTTGGAAACTGAATAGATTTGTAGAATATATTTAGCATATAAATGGGATACAATGAGATAAACAAATCGTCAGAAATTAAAGTATATTGTTAGGATTCCATGTTTAGTTGTTATAATCGTATAATTAATGTTGTAATTATTGTTGTTTATTTTTGTAGAAAAAATCTTACCAAAATAGATTATACATAATAATAGTCAAAATTTGTGGAAGAGATTCCATTGTTAGGATTTGTTAGATTAGGAATGTAATTAAGAGGATATTTAGTCGAATTAGTTGATTTTTTTTTTGGAAAGTCGCATTTAAAAGAATCCGAGAGTTTTGATTGGCCAGTGAGTCGGGTCAAAAAATCTAATCGGGTCAAAATCTTTTAAAAAACCCGACCCGATTGGCTTTGAGCAAATTTGTACTTCAAAAATGTTAAGTAGATATTTATGATACTTGTAGAACTGTTGAACCAAGTAAAAGCATAGTATGGATCGATTAATAATAGCCGATATTGTAGGAAGAGATCTAACTCTTGTTTTCTTTCTATCAGAACCGGATCTAACTACTGTAATGAAGAAAAAATATTATTATGTTTTAGTTAGATTTAGGCTCTAAATTATTAGTACAGGTTGTTATGGATCATATGGTTGTTGAGACTTAAAGCTAGTTAGTTAACAATGTGACAAAGAGCCAACTGTATTAATTTTCTACTAATAACGCATTTTGTTTCTCTTTTGTTTTGGTAAGTTCGTTTTATTTTGCTTCCAATTGAAGTTTGAACTATGAATTTATTGAGGGTTAAGCTTGATTTGGATGTCGGCAAAAATAAAAGACATGGTTTGAATTTGGATAGTGACCTATACATGGGTTTTAATTCTTTTTGATGTAGCGGGAAGATATCATCAACAAGAGAATTTTTGGAACAAATACATACCCGTTGCCTCGTTGGTTAAGGTGAATTTAGATAACAAAACGTTACTATCCCTTTTTTTTTCGTCTGAATGATTATATAACAAAGGTGAATTACATTGTCGGAATACAAAGGTCGGCGGGACTTTAACCCCTAGAAACTAAGCCGGCGGGACTTTAACCCCCAGAAACTAAACCCAAACAAGGGAAACGAGGCCCTAAATTACAGGGAAAGAAACAAGGAATAAATGAAAACTAAAACAAGAGACTCAACAAATTAAATCTGGAATCTAGCACAAACTCCATACCTACCAAATCAAAACCATGACTGGAATGCCTTACACAAAGCAAACCGAAGCAGCAAAGCGAGACAACGATAAGCGGTTCCTCCTATAGTGGATTGAGACTACCTCACAATGAAAGAGTTCCTAGGCGATCACACCAGCAAGACAAGATCCAAGCCAAAAGCAACAGGATCAAAATATTTCTCCTGGTAGCGGCGAAGTCGAAAGAATAAACCCCGACAAGTTAACGCCTCGAAAGAAGCCTTTGAACAGATCAGATCTCGATCTGACCTATAGAGTAGAGACAAAGAGCGAACCAAACCCGAACCGGACCACACCGAATACGAAAGAACCGGTGAAAGATCGAAACCGGAGCGAGACGAAGATAACTTCCAGAGAAGAAGAAAACATTAGAATGGAGAGCACCAAACCACAAAAGACCAAATTTAAAAGGAATCTCTGTAAAAGAAAACAGTTACACCCAGCAATTGAAACTACAACAAACACAAACCGCTACAACGCCAGAGGTAAAAAGATTGGATCAGCCGAGTAAAATCGCCAAATTCAAGAGAGGAGAACGAAGGGTGGAGGAGACACACACCGTCAAAAGAAGGCCGGATCTCCGACCACACCACCCCAACATAAACCTACCTCGACCACATCACTAATTTACTATCCGTTTAAGAGTAACAAAACGTCACTATCCGTTTAAGAGTAACAAAACGTCAAATTAAGGGTATAAATCTAATACTATTATTTGGGGAGTACAATTTATAATTACCCTTTAATAACCTTTCTCTTTGTAAGAATTTACTTAAGAATGCCATTAGAGTTAAAATTTCAAAGAGTAAATTAATTCATCTAATTAAGGATAAACAAGTCAAATACTAATTTATGCAATTTAATTAATTTAATTTAATTATAAAAACGAAAATACATCTACTTAACATTTTTGAAGTACATTTTTGCTCAAAGCCAATCGGGTCGGGTTTTTTTTAAGATTTTGACCCGATTAGATTTTTTGACCCGACTCATCCTCCAATCAAAACTCTCCAATCCTTTTAAATTCGAATTTCCAAAAAAAAATCAACTATTTCGACTAAATATTCTCTTATAACTGCCCCGCAATAATCGTTAGCCATATAGTTATGATACTTACCTTAACCATTAGCATAGATTTCGGAGTATATCCTACTAATACAACTTACCAAAAAAAAAATCCACATAAAATCTCTCATTCATTTCGATTACACTATCAAGTAGATGTCAACTGCCTCTAACAAAAAAGATATGATCCTTATTTTCTCACAGTATATGCTATAACTCCAACTTCCCAAAACAAAAAATCCACATAATATCTCTCATTCATTTCGATTACACTATCAGTTATTACTCAGACGATTTGGTATCTCAAGTATATGTCAACTGTCCCTAACCAAAAAGATATGATCCTTATTTGCTCACAGTATATGCCAATCAGAATATTTTTTCTGATATTCAAACCGTGGTAATCAAGATATGCGTGGATTCTATCACAAATCCTTAATTCCCTACCAAGTCACTATATATATTGAAACATTTCTATGCTATTCTTCACGCTTCACAATAGAAACACTAACACAGCTAAATACATACCAGATAATTGAAATGGCTGCCTCTTTTGCTTTCTTGAGAGACATCAGGCCTTACAAGACCTCCTGGCGTGTGCAAGTTAAGGTGCTTCACTCATGGCGCCAGTATACTAACCTCACAGGAGAAACGCTAGAGTTAGTAGTGGCTGATGCACAGGTAACTATATGTCTACATATATAAAACTCCTAAAACTATCATATTGATACTTACTTAAATACAGTGATAGTTAATCATATGTCTTTTCTTTTGTTAACAGGGTATGAAGATTCATGCATCTATCAAGAAGGACTTGGTTAGCAAGTATGTGAACCATCTGCCTGTTAATGAGTGGAGGTTTATTGAGACCTTTGCTCTTAATCATGCATCTGGTCAATTCCGACCAACTGGTCATCTCTATAAGATGTCCTTTGTCACTGGGACAACTGTCCTGCGATGTGATCCAGTCTCTGACTCCAGCTACCTGTCCTTGGCTACTTTCCCAAACATTCTGAATGGGGACTTAAATCCTTACATGTTGATTGGTAAGACATTTAAATATTTTAATTAAAGTTGCTATTACTATTTAGTGAATATTACTAACTAGATTGTTTGTTCTATTTAGATGTTATGGGACAGGTTGTTAACATCGGTGAGTTGGAAACTCTGGAAGCTAATAACAAGCCAACTACTAAGTTGGACTTTGAATTACGTGATGAAAAGTAAGTCTTCATAATAAAAGTAAATGGCAGTAGATACTAATGTTATTATGTTTTTATTATTACTTTAGTATAACTGATAAATGATTTGTGTTAGTGATGAGCGACTGTCCTGTACCCTGTGGGGATCATTCGCTCAGCAAGTGTTTAATGCCTGCGATGCTGCTGATGGAGCCAGAGTCATCTGTCTTATCAGATTTGCCAAGATTAAGGCATACAAAGGTTTTTACCTTTAATCTTATTCACTTATTATCTATGAACCTCTCCTATATCTACTCTACAAAGGAACTTTGTTCTAAACCTTTCTTTTCAGGAGTGAGAAGTATATCTAACTCTTTTGATGCTACTCAAGTTCTCATCAATCCACCTATCCCAGAGGTTGCAGCTTTTCTAACAGCGTAAGAGTTTTCAACAGATTAGTGTACTTAAGTTACTGAACAAAAAACTGTTCTGTTCTGATTCAAATAACTATGTTTTACAGTTTACCTGCTGACGGCCTTGCCCTTACATTCCGTGAGAGTGTGCCCAAGTTTCAAATGGTGACAGTGGCAAAGGATGATTCCTATCTGCAGTATGAGAGGAAGACAATTTCAGAGCTATTGAGTTCTATGGAGGTTATATTACTTTATCTGATTTATATCTTAAATTTAGAATTATTCCTGATATTAACTGGTGTATGTTGTCTTTGCAGATTGGTAAAGTTAGGGTTGTTTGTACAATCTATGGAATTGACACTGACTGGGCATGGTATTACTTTAGTTGCCGTAATTGCAACAAAAAGGTAACACACATACATTCTGGTATTAATTCCGGTTCATTGAAGAAGCCAAAACCTAGATTCTGGTGTGATGTCTGCAAGAATGCTGTCACAAATGTTGTTGCAAAGTATGTAAATTCTGTGTTTCCCAACTGTCTGAATTGTACAATCTGTACAGTTTGATAGTTTCCTAATTATCTATTATACCATGCAGGTACATGCTTTATGCTAAAGTGATGGACAACACAGGTGAAACAAAATGCCTTCTGTTTGATAGTATATGTGCAGACATTGTTGGTGAATCTGCAGCAACTGTGTTAGGTGGATCGTTTAATGAGGTAACTATTTGAATCAGTTGACATGAGATTAGGCTTGAACACCACCTGTTTATAATGTTTTAAAAATATTCTATTTAACACTACTAGATTGAGGATCCAGAAGACCTGCCAGATGTGGTTCAGAATTTGAAAGGGAAGACTTTCCTTTTTCTTCTCTGTGTTGAGAAAGAAAACATTTGGAATGGGAAAGATTGTTACAAAGTTTCCAGGGTGCTGTCTAAACACGGTCTCTTAGGAGATGAGGCCCCAGAAGATTCAGATCAGTTGGTCAATCCTGCATCAATTGTTTCTGGAGACCAGGTAATATTTTCTTTTATTCCCTACTAAAGTATGCATCATTATATTTCCACTCATTACTAACCAACTTACTATGAAATGCAGCCACTGTTGTTGACAATGAGTCAGGATACAGAAGACTCAGTTACTCCATCGTCTAAACGTGTTTATGCCCTAAACAGTTCTGAAACTGATCAAGCCTCAAGTTCTAAGAAGGTTTGTATTCAGCCTGTGGACTTGGTTAAGTCCTCACCAGAGTTTAGATTTGAGGTTGAGTCTGGAAAGAAGGATGATGAACATGGTGCTGGAGATGTTAAGGATGGTGTGATCAAAGGTGAAGGTGTTAAGATTGATGATGGTGTATCTGTCAATGGACAGAGGGTGGAGGTCAAGCCGGTGGAAAAGTTGATGAGTGTCAAGATCAAGAGGGAGATCAAGAAGGAAAAGAAGTGATCTCATGATCAGTGAAATGGGAGTGTCGGTTTTAGTCATGTTTTCTTATTGTTTTCCCCTTAAATCTTTCTATTTTCATTTAGTTTAAACAGTTGTTTCCCTTTAGTTATTTAAGTTTCCCAATGAACTTAGTATTTTCGTTATTTCCATTCAATAATAAGTAAACTTTTCATTTTTTATTATATGTGTCTATCTAATTCGGAAACTCTATATACAAGTAAATGCTCCATAGTATATATTGTTAAGTAAAGGATCTTACTGCCTGCAAACATAGAGTGAAATATATATGTACAGTATTTATACCTGTATATGATAATCTACTAAAAAACATATATATAAACTATAGATAATATTATTTATAATCCAAATTAAAGTAATCATTACATAGAGCTGCACAGCTGATATGAGACGTGAGCAGTTAAATCTGACTTTGAATCTCTTTACCATTTATCAAATATGCATCGAAACAAGTAACTATCCATAAATGAATAATTACAATCATTGCTATACTTTTATGATTATTATTTGATTTCCTTATCTCTAACGATTCAATTTCCTCTCTTTATTATAACTTACTTAACATATATTAAGTCGGTTATTTGATTTTCAATATCTTTTTCCATTTTTTTCGTGCCTGCTAGATCTATACACGAAATCCCTTCTATATTCTTTATATATCATGACATAACCTCTAGGTTTCCCACAGTGCACCATCTTTCTATCTTAAAACCTCTCCAAAGTTAACTCTGCAAAAATCCAATGGGTACTATTGACTACATTTCTGATCTAAACCTTCAGAGGCCTAGATGGACTTTGTACGTGAAGATTTTGTCTATCTGGAATCAAGGCATCGACGCTTTTGCAGAACCAACAAAAATGATACTCGCCGATGAAAAGGTATATTATTTTCAGAGTTATTCTTTTGCAGTCTTCTGTGGATAACTAATTTTGTATTTCTTCTTATATGTCTAGGCCAATATGATTGATGCATTTATTCCTCCTGGAAATTACTTATACAATTTTCGTCAAGGTCTCAAGGAGGGTCAGTGGTACTACATGGCTGACTTCCATGTTGTACCATCTGCTAACCCTGTTAAATACGCTTGGAATCGTTTTGCACTACAGTGTATATGGCCTACAACTATGTGGCCTGTTAGTCCTAGATCAAATAGCAATTTCTTCAACTTCATTCATTCTGATGAAGTTGAGTATGCTGGTGCTCAAGATAAAGAATATGTTACAGGTTATGCTGTAATACAGAATTCTCTTTCAGAATAACTGTAACATTGCTTCAGATTTAATTCAATAACTGTTATGTCTTCCCTATCAGATGCTATTGGTGTGATTTCTAAAGTCTCTGCTATTCAAAGATTCCCATTTGTTTGTCGTGAAGGCGAGACAGACTATGAATCTAGATATGTTCTTTTCGAAATCAAAGATGACATGTAAGTTTACTTCATCTCTATATATCAAATCAAGAACTGTTGTAATAATCAT